AGGGGGATGGGGGCCCGCGCGGGGAAGGGGTGAAGACCGACGAAGATTACTGTTCCGTGCGAGGATGCCGCGCTTCTTCGCGCCGCCTCGCCTGTGAACCTTGCCGCCAGAGACTGTGCAGCAGTCCGGGATGTGAGGAGAGGGGGAAAACGCGCCAGCTGGCCGGGGAGACCCTCCTGTCTGTGCAGGGGAGCGGATCGCCGGCGACAGAGCATTGGCGAAGGGACCTTGGAGGGCGCGCGGAACCCCACAGCCCTGTGTGGCGCCCGAGCCCGCGCCGCCCGCTGAGCGGGGTCCCCGGGACTAGGTAAGTGCGGGGGCTTCGCAGCTCTCCTGTGCGCGGGGTCTGCCGTGAGAACCCTGCACCGCGGCAGCCTGGCCACCCCGGAGTTGCCGAAGGAATTGGAAACTGCCATATGGCGCCCAGCGGACTTGCACACAAAGCGGACTTAACCCTGGCGAGGTTATTAATGCCAGGCTGCTTCCCGGTGGGGAAAGCCCGCGAGTGTGAGCCCCCGGGAAAGCCTCCCGGCAGCCTGGCTGGAAGGGATGGGAGATGCTTATTTCTAGGAGACGAGCTCTAGCTCCACTTGCCTTCTGTTCATTTGTTGGTAAATGCCACACTCACATGCACACACTTGTGGGACTGGATCGGGTAGGGAATGTGATGTCTCCGGTGTGTGCATAGTCCTCGGGACGCGGACAGCGTTCGTCTTATTCCTCAGGCGGTGCGCGGTCTTCCTTCCTGAGAGGAAGCGCAGGTCTCTATGGAAAGTCTCATGGCTGTTTGCGACACACTGTGCTGTCTTGGGAATAGTTGCCCTCAGTGGCACCCAAAGACCCGGACCATTTGCTCATTTGCTCCCAAGGCTTAATGACCGTTTCCAAGAGAGTCTACTGCTGTCCATTTTGTGGAATTATGAGCATTTATGGGTATCCATTCATAAAAATTGTTAGGCTGCAACATACACAAACATGCCATTAATGCAATTTTTATGACTGCACAAGTACTTTGAAAATAGTAATAAAGACAAGATCGTAGTGGAAAATTTAGTAGGCATAGGGGTGCACTGAGTTAATTTCATGTAGGTCTAACATTCCTTCTAATCAAGTTATGCAATAATTTCAGTATTTTACATAGCTTTTCACATTTCTGTTTTTGCATTGAGTAGCTTTTGGACTTTGTGGAGAATCTTTTTTTTAAGCCCAGCTCAAAAGTAAGTAAGCATTTTAGTGTTAGTATTTTTAAATGTGTAATATAGTATGAGACAGAAAGCTTTTGGCTTATTTACCTATAAACTTCAATCAAGATACTGTATTTCATAGGACAAGTCAAAGATTTATGTCGAAGATGCAGTCTGACCTGTCAGGGTTGAATAACTTGCAGGAAAGATTTTGAAAGAGGGTAATAGTTTAAAAACTAGATAGAAGTGTATACTGTAACTGAAGTTTTATCTGTTTCACTCTTTGGTGTGGGTGTGTGGGAGATGGGTGCACTTGTATCAGTCAAGTTGTCCAAAGCTTAGCTTGTGATGCTTGAATAAAACCTGAGGCAGCTAGGGGGTTCTTTGTCCTTGAATTAACCAAAACTTCACCCATAGCTTGGCATATGATTCGTGTGTATGGATTTAATTGCTGCTTACCCTGGCGTTTTTACTGTGTAGCGTGAATACAGTGCTGCTTGTTGTGGCTACCGGGACTTTCTGAGAACACTGAAGGCCCTATGTAACTTTTCCTCTTGATGCATCTGGAAGGGTCCTCATCACCCAAAGGAGTTAACATGCCGGCTTAAAGCAGATCCTGTCACTGCCTCCCGCCTTGGGTTGCACAGAGTTCAGACCAACTGTTTATCACAAATAGGATTCCATGTAATGCACTCTTCTCCCTTGTCTTCAGACTTTTGGAGGAAGGGGTGAATCCCTTTTCAGTTCTCTTTGCTTGCTTCCTTCCTTAACCTTCACCTCTGCCTTCCCGTGTTAGTGTTCCCAGATAGCCCCCATACACAAACTCACGCTGACTCCAGAAAACAACTGTACTGCCTGCCACTTTGAGAGTTCTCGTTCTCACATATTCCTTTTCAGATGGCCTCTTTTCTCTTGTTTTTCTGAGGGAATCAATCCGTGCATCAGTTAAAACTATTTCCGAATTCACTTTTCCCCGAATTCCACAGCTCAGTTTCTCAAGCGTGCTTGTCTACTGAATATCCAGATGAGATGGTAGAAATTGTTTCATCCAATGTTTTTTGTTTTGCTTTTAAAACTTTCTTTTAGATGCCAGGAGGTAACTGTGAACATGAGCCTGCCCTTGTGGTTTGCAGTATGGCAATAAAAGTAAGGATGGTAGGGAAAAAAAGAAATGGCAGGATATGCTCTCAGTAACATTTCTTGACAACTTAAAAGCACATCTGAGCAGACTTTCGTATCCCTCACTGTATATCTGTAAATGTGTTTGTGGAGCATTGAAAAAATATATTTTCTTCCATGTCTTTGTGATACTTTAAAATGATGCTCTGGAGAGACTGGTGTATGTATGTACATATTATGAAAGTAGATCAAATGACTGGTAAAATTTAGGAAGCCTATGCTTCACTCTGCCCTGAGGCATATTTTCTTTGATAAGGAAATAATCAGTTCCTGGAAATTTGCTCTCTCTTAGACATTAATTCCTAAGGAAAATTCTTAAAGTTGAAAAGAAATCTTGTGTGCATTTAAAGCTAAATACATAATATTATGCTATTGTTTATTTCTGACTCTAATGTCATTTGAGATTTACTTAGATTCATCAAGTGGAATTTGCATAAAAGCACGATGCCTGTTATTTTCAAGAGGGCTGTAGCAGACTGGAGAGTACAACTGCATTTTATGTGAAGAGGTTTTTTTTTAAGTTCTGGGTTTTGTTGTTGTTTTTTTTTTTAAGGTTTAGTGTTTATGTCTTCATGGCCTTGTTACTCTCAAAGTGATAAAATAAATTTCATAAAGCAGAGCAGTCTTAAATTTTTTAGTGACATTCTAGAAGTATCTTCATAGTCTAGACCTGGAGCCTGTTCTCTTCTGTTGCTTATTCCCCTCTGTACGTCTTAGATACATACCCCCAGCTCTTTACTGCCCGTGCAGGTTATTAGACAGAATGTAAGGGTGTGAGACCCTGGACTGATGAAGCCAGAACTTTCTGTGTTGTCTTGAAAAGTGATATTCCTAAAGGTTGAATTGTACATCTCTTTATTATCTTATTTAATCCATAGAACTACTCCTAACTCATTTATTAATTCATGTATCAGTTACTAAGGATGCATAAGAAGAGTGCTTGACTAGCATGTCACCAATACAGAAGGTACAGAAGACAGCCCTTTCCCTCGATGTTTTGTGCTGTAGACAGTCCAAGAGAACTTTGGATTACTAATTGAAAAACCGTAGTTACAGTTCAAAATGAGAGTTCTCTTTCACACAGAAACCCATTTAACAATTTCACATTTAATAAGTTGAGATGAATTCATGAAGAAGATCATGAAAACTTGTCCAAAGCTATGCCTTTGAGGATTATTAGACAATAACAACAACCATGATACTACATTTTATTAAACTATTTAATTTTAGATTTAAGGTAATTTATAATATTATAAATCAAAATATTATTTTATTTACATAATATTGTAGCCAACACTTACTTGAACTAAGTATTATGTTAAGCATTTTGCAAATAGTATTTTTATCCTCACAACCACTCTATGATACAATAAATATACCTTTATTATATAGATATGTAAAATAATGTCTAGAAACATTTCTTAATTTGTGTAAGATCACATAGGAAGTAAATGTTAAAGTTCAGCTTGAACCCAGGTGTTCTGACTCCACTCGAGCTATTATTATATAAAGAAGCACTGGGAAATATGATTCTGAGCAAAATAAGATATCTGCAGTTCCTAGGTTTTTGGGGAGCTACATCTTCTCACTAAAGGAGGGCATCTATATCACTACAGGGAGTTTCTTGGAAATGGCCAAAAGAAATGACATTTTTTTAAGGAGAAGAAAACCCGCAAGTTTTCAACAAGAATTTAAAATAAGGTAGTTTAGAGACTAACTTTTCTTTTTTTTTTTTTTTTTGGTTTTGGTTTTTCTCCGGTACCGGGAACCGAACTCACAACCTTGTGCTTGCCAGGCAGGCGCTTTTGCCACTGAGCTAAATCCCCAGCCCCTGAGACTAACTTTTCAAATGTGAGATTTCATCAAAATTCTAACACATTAGAGTGTTACTATCCTTATCTTGACCAGAGGAACGAAGCCTCCTGCCACAGATGGCCTGATGGGTAAATTTCTGAGGGTAGTTCTGGTTTTGGTTTAGGTTTTGTGAATTACAATGTAGTGTGAGAAATATTTTAGAGTTATATGTCATATTATAAAAGAAAATTATTAGATTTGGAATTTAATTTTCTTTTGTCTATGCCCCCACTTTTTAACTCTGTAAAAAATAATCCCAGTATTTCAGTGGAAATTGAAAAAGAGTCACTTAGCAGATTTACTTCCTAGTACACTTTTAGAATGCATTTAATTTTTTAAGTGGCAAATAACTAATAAAATCATGAAAGCATAAATCAAATCATACGTGGAGATTTTCATCAAGAAGACCATATACAATATTTTAAGTACAGCTCTTTCTAAACAACTACTGCTCCTATTTATGTAAAAAATACCATCTCAGTTATTGCCTCCAGGATGCCATAGAGTCAAATGCTTAAGACACCTCTTCATGATTAATTGATATTTTTTGCACAGATATTAGTTCTCATAGGCTAAGTGACATTTTATGCCAACTTTCAACCTTTGGCTTAGTATACAAGTTCACTTTAAAGCTTACATACATTTCTTCATAAAAACAGGCCTTAAAATGGTATCTAGTTCCTCAGACTAATCAACCAAAATCCTTTTAATCAATCATATACCTGAAGTATAGTACTGTTAATACTTTTTTAAAAAGACTATTGTGTGAAGTAATATTCCTTGGGAATCATTTGTTCTGAATAATGCTTATAAACTCCCCCTGGGTCTCTTGGGATGCCTGGGTGGGCGCAGTACTTTCTAGGTCCACAAGGAGGACAGGCAGTGGGGAGAGTTATACACAAGTAACTCTGATATTAGGCAGAATGAAGAAAACATTATAAGACTGTTATAGGCAAGGTGTTGAATAATTGATTCAGACTTCTATCCTGAGAGCCAGGGACTGCATATTCCCTACTTAGGATTCTCGTTTGCTATTTCATCTTAAAGGGATCTACTGAGCTCCTCTGTGCCAAACCCTAAGGTACTTCTT